AGACACAAAGATCCTCAACAAAATTAAGCAGCTGAACTCAGCAACGCATAAAAAATTACACACCACAATGAAGTGGGATTTATTATACACATTAGAAAATCAATGAATGCCTAAACAGAAAACTTATTTTCGCAGAACTGTTATTCCTTTCCCCACTGATTTGTATCCCTTGTAGATAATAAAATTGTATATAAACTTGGGGGTAAAAAAATCCATGAATGCAACCTACCATGTCAACAGGATGAAGGAAAAAAACAAAAAAATCACGACCACATCAACTGACACAAAAAACGTGTGACAAAACTGAACTAGTTGTGATTAAAGCACTCAGCAAACTAGAAACACAGAGGAGCTTCGTGAGGTTGGTAATAAACAACTACAAAACCTGAGAACTAAAACATACTTAGCGATGAAAGACTGAATCCTTTCCTCTAAGACAGGGTACGGGCAAGGATGCCCCCATTCTCGCAAACACTGTTAGTCAACATAGCACTGAAGACTGTAGCCGCCGTAATTAAGGCAAAACAAACAAACAAAGCAAAAACAAGGGCAAGAGAGACCAGAAAGGAAGAAGTAAAACAATCCCTATTTGCAGATATCCCAAGCAACCTACAGGGAGTTTACCAAGACTGCAGAGTAAAAAGTCAACACACAAAACTGGATCACGTTCTGATCTTCTAACAATGAATATATGGAACTTGAAGAAGTTAAAAACACATCTGCAGTCCATTTACCATTATATTATTATTTACTGTTACTCCAAACAAAATGATATACTTAGGTATAAACTTAAAACATGTACAGGATCTATGCTAAAAACCACAAAATGCTGATGAAAGGAATAAAAAGGACCTGAATAAGTGGAAAAACATTACGGGTTCATGGACCGGAAGATTCAACATAGTAAATATATCAGTTCTCCCCCAACTGATTGTTTAATGTGTTCATATAGAAATTCCAGGAAGGTTCCGTGTTTTGTTTTGTTTTTCCTTTTCCTTTTTTTGTAGAGACACAGACAAGCTTATTCTAAAATTTATACGGAAAGACTCTAGGACCTAGAATAGCCTTGAAAAATAAGAATAAAGTGGGAGGAATCACTCTACCCAATATTGAGGCTAGAGTCATCAAGGCAGTGTGGGATGGGCAGAGGGATAAACACACAGTTCAGTGGAACAGAATCAGAAACCCAGACACAGAGCCATATAAATCTGCCCAACTGAGTTTTGACAAAGTTGTAATATCAAATGTAAAATGGGGGAAAACAAACAAATAAACAAAAACCCAAAACAAAACAAAATCTTAACCCAAATCTCTTTATACAAAATCAATTCAAAATGGATCAAGGACTTCAATGTAAAAGGTAGACCTATAAAATTTCAAGGAAAAAAAGAGAAGCTCTCCAGAATCTAGGACCAGGCAAAAAAGTTTTTAGACTTGCAGCAACAGCAAAATTGATAAATTAAACCTCATCAAGATTAAAGATGTTTGCTCTTCAAAAGACCTGTTAAGAGGTTGTAAGGACAAGATACAAACTGGGAGAACATATCTGCAGACCACAATTCTGACAAAGGCTTGCATATGGAATGTAGCAACTCTCAAAAATCAATGGTAAAAAAAAAAAACCCAAACAACCCAGGTAGGAAATGGGCAAAAGCCATGAACGGACATTTCACCGAAGAGGACACACAGGTGGCAAATAAACACATGAAAAGATGTTCCACACATCAGCAGCCACGAGAGGAATGCAAATGAAAACCACGGGGGAGAGGGGACCACAGACTTAAAATATAAAACAGTGACAACAACACACACGCCATCCAGGAGTCAGGGGAACCAGGTCAGGGATCCGTACCTAGTGCGAACGTGTGACACTGTGGTCACCTGGAGAAAGGTTATGGCAGTTTCTTACAGAATTATGGATGTGCTTACCAGAATAACCCAGATACTTTACTCTTGAACATTTACCCAAGGCAAATGCAAACTCATTTTAACACAAAATCTGCTACAAATGTTCACAGTCACTCTAAAATAGCCCAAACCTTGAAAAAATCTGGTTCACCACACTGTGGTATGCCCAAGTGACAGAATTCTACTCAGCAACAAAAACAAGTAAGCTATCGACACACACAACAACTTGGAAGGCTCTCAAGGAGTCATGGTAGGTGAAGACACCCAAACTCTAAAGGGGAAGGACTGGAGGATTCCATTTAGACAGCATTCTCGAACTCATGGAACCACAGAGTGGTGGACAGGTCAGTGATGTCAGGGGCTGGGCAGGGGGAGGTGGGGCGGGGGGCTGGGACGGAAGAACAACAGCACAAGGGATCCTGGTGGGGGACTGTTCTATGTCTTGACCATGGTGGTGGTGAACTGACACTATGGAGAGACACATACACACGAGTACAGGCTGGACTGGAGAAATCGGAGTCAGCTCAGTGGATGGTATCCATGTAAGGATCCTGGTTGAACTATTTACTATAGTTATGCAAGATTTTACCCCAGGTGCAGGGGAATGCATGAGGGTACCTGGGACATCCCTGTATCATTTCTTACAAATGCAGGTGAATCTACAGTTACCTCAAAATAAAAAGTTTAACAAATGTAAAGGACTGGTGTTCCTAAAAAAATGCACATAACCTGGATCTGATTGATGATCCAGGAACACAGGGTATCAGGCAAACTCAAAGACAAAACAAATGGGTTGGACTCCTCAAAAATGTCAATGCCGGGGCGCCTGGGTGGCTCAGTGGGTTAAGCCTCTGCCTTCGGCTCTGGTCATGATCCCAGGGTCCTGGGACTGAGTCCCGTATCAGGCTCTCTGCTCGCTGGGGAGCCTGCTTTCTCCTCTCTTTCTGCCTGCCTCTCTGCCTACTTGTGATCTCTGTCAGATGAATAAATAAAATCTTAAAAAAAAAATGTCAATGCCATGAGACAGATTAAGAGAGACCTAACAGGGGCAACTGGCTGGCTCAGTTGGTAGAGCGCATGACTCTTAATCTTGGGGTTTGAGTTCAAGCCACATGTGGGGTACAGAGCTTACTTAAAAAGAAAATGGCGGGACGCCTGGGTGGCTCAGTTGGTTAAGCGGCTGCCTTCGGCTCAGGTCATGATCCCAGGGTCCTGGGATCGAGTCCCGCATCGGGCTCCTTGCTCGGCAGGGAGCCTGCTTCTCCCTCTGCCTCTGCCTGCCTCTCTGTCCGCCTGTGCTCGCTCACTCTCTCTCTCTCCCTCTGTCCCTGACAAATAAATAAATAAAATCTTTAAAAAAAAAAAAAGAAAATGGCAACTGAATGCAAAGTACAATCTGGATCAATCCAGGGTTTGTTTTGTATTACAGGCATTAAGACAATTTTTTTTTAAATTAAGTAGGCTCCATACTCAGTGTGGGGTCTGAACTCATGACCCTGACAGCAAGAGTCCCATGCTTTACCAACTGAGCCAGCCAGGTGCCCCTATTAAGACAGTTTTACAAAACTTAAAAAAGGTCTGTAGATCTGGTATTGTATCAATATTAACTTTTGATTTTCATAATTATACTGTGATTATATAGGAAATGTTCTTGTTTTTAAAAATACACACTGAGGTATTTAAAGGGTAAAGGGGCATCATATCTCAAATTTATTCTCAAACGGTTAAAAAAAGTATATACGCATAGAAAAGGAACTAGGGCAAAATGCTAACAGTTTAAGAGTCTGGGGAAGAGAATACTTCATACTATTTTTACAGCTTCTCCAAGTATGAAATTATAAATAAAAATTATTGTAATAAAAAACTTTAAAGGTATACAGGATACTGCACAGAGTTTGGCACATAAGTGTGCAATAAATGACAGCTTTCAGCATTGTACCTATTTTCAGATGAAGAAACAAACTGAGAAGTAAAATAAATGGTCTACGAAAAGACCATGACAAACTGGTGATGAGGTCGGGATTCGAACTCAGATCTCTGTTCCGTAGCAGCCTCTGTGCTTTCACTAGAATGAGGAAGGCTGAAAACTTCAGCTCTCCCACAGGGGTCTGGATGTCCTCTGTTTATAAGGAGAGGATGGCATTCCACGAAGACTGGCTTCAAACCACTCTGCAAACAGCTTGTTTGTTGGTTTCCTAGCAGAGAAGACTCGGACTGGGGCTGGGACCTCACACCTCCATCTGGGCCCCCTGGGTGCACATTTTATCTAGAGGGCATCCAACCAGCTAACAAACGGACCAGGTCACCGCCTACAGGTTCTCCACTACAGGGCGGCAGGCCCTCCTGTCCTTCCTGGGTCTTTATTCACTGATCTGAAACCCACTGAACACTCAGTCTGTGCTCACTGAGGGAGGAAGGGAAGTTCTAGGACGACCGGATATATCTCTTCTATGGGACCTTCTCCACCTCACTGTCACCCCACGGGCAAGCTTAAACGGTAATTTTTAACTGACTTATTTTTCTGAATAGATAATACACATGGAACTAAAGTACGTGAAGGCTCCCTCCCCCACCTCCCAGCTCGCCTCGCCCCTGACAACCAATGCCTCCAGCTCAGAAATGCAACTCTGTGAGAGCTCTCCAAATGACCAGAGTCAGCTAGATCATATCATGATACTAAGCTAGCCTTCTACCCAGGATATTCCAAGTGACCACTATAAATGTAGACTCCCCATTTAGGCATTTAAAAAAGATCCTGAAAGGGGCGCCTGGGTGGCTCAGTGGATTAAAGCTCTGCCTTTGGCTCAGGTCATGATCCCAGGGTCCTGGGATGGAGCCCCGCTTCCCTTCCCCCCCTCTGCCTGCCTCTCCGCCTACTTGTAATCTCTGTCTGTCAAATAAATAAATAAAATCTTAAAAAAACAAAAAAAAGATCCTGAAAATAACATATGTAAATATGTTTTCAACACATGGACATGACTGAAGGTCACGACTTTTTTCTTAAGTGAAGAACTCTGTGCTGTGAATGACCATGATAGACGTCTCCGAATGACGGTTGTAAGATGGATAGTTAGAGAGTGCCAGGAGCTCACCTGGTTCCTGTCGCGTGCATTCGTGTACCTGATCTTCTGAATGAAGTAGAATATGAGCCATGCTGAAGAAATAATCATCAGCACAATAAAGGATATTGACACGAAGACTAGAGAGCCACGGCTGAAGTTCTTTGGCGGCATTCGTGTTCCAACAGCTATTGTCATTTGTACAGAGATGTTTTTCTCCAGATAACTCAAAATATCCTTACCCCTCAATTCTGTAATCATGACAGCAATGATATCTCCAGTGCCTGTAATGTAAAATAAATATAGACGCTCAAATGACCTTTAAAATTTATAGGAACATCACACATATGAAAATGCTATTTAGAGAAACAACTATGATTTCTGCTATTGGGAGGGGTGTGCAGATTCAGCTTCTCAAGTGGAACGAATCTGTAGCTGGGTACGCTGGCTCCAAGTGGGAACAAGAATCCGTGTGGAGTGCTTAAGACTCAGAGCGTGGAAGGACTGTAGTGCTAAGAGCCACATTCACTTGTCTTATAACTATATTTAAAAAACAGATTAAATCAGCCAAATGTGAAGACAGACCGTATAAAACATATGATACAACATAATGTGATAAAATCACCACAGGTCTTTACTGTAGAACCTTTTCCATTAAAACCCTCCTGAGAAAGTCCCACCTCCTTAAGAAAAGGAGAACAGTGCTAGTACTTCTAGTACAAAAAGCACTAGGATTTATCATACAAAAAATTGGTATTTTTGCACTACTCCCTCTTAGAAATATTTATGGAGCATCTATTGTGTGCAGAACTGCTATAAGGAATAGAAAGAAATACAGCATCTGCAGCTTTATAATATCACCAACATGACACAAATCCGCCAACAGAGCTGCAAAAGCCAAATGGCCTGGTGGTAAAGTTTCATGAGGAACAGCAGAGACTCCCCTTGGTCTTGTGTCTAGACCTGATGAGAGGAAGGTTCCTTTCTTCTTTACCCCAGAACCCTTCCAGAAATTAACACCCCCCTCAAGACACGCCCAAGCTTCAATAGCCTGGACTAGCTGGACACAGAAACCCTTCCGGCTTCTAACAGCGGTCCAGAGGTTCTGCCACAGCGACAAGCCATTGAAGGCAAACACCAGGATGCGAGGTTCTCTTCAAGCCATCCACCTCTTTCACTTATGTAATCTCCAGGAGGAGTAACACCATCAAGGCAAGTTATTCTCTCTCCTGTGGAGCGTGAAATTACTGCTCCTTTCCTCCTCCACAAAGGGAGGTCATTTCCCACTTCCTTTCCAGGAAATAGGGCTGCCGAGCTACACCAGTCGAGCTGCTGACGAGCCTCCTTCCTAAGCCGGGGCTGGTGGCAATGCGCAACTTCCAGCACACTTCAAAGCAAGGACTAGGACTCTGGGGGTTGCAGGAAGGAGAACAAACATTTCTATTTCAGGAAAGAGAAAATTATAACTATTTATCCAAGTCTGAATAAGGTCTGCACGTAAATATAAACCACCAAAGCCAAATGAACAAACACCCCAGAACTTGCCCTTTCAAAAACTTCATTAATGAATTCTGCTAAGTGTTTGGTTTATGTGTTTACCATCTTTAGCTAAAAGAATTACCCTTGTTATCCCAGGCAGTCAAAAGGCCGGCAACTGAAAAGAAAGTCAATAATTAAAAGCTTCATGAAGAATTTAACCTGGTGGCACACAGACCTTTTGTATTACCTTATTCAAAATTGTGCCAGCCATGTTATCAGAATACTAATTTAAAAAAAAATTCAAAAAACAAAAAGAAAACTGCAGAAGTAAAGAAAGCAACAAAGTTAACATCTAAGAGTTCTGATCAGTGAGTTAGAGAGAAATCATCAAGTAATGCTAAACCATTTAAATTTTCCATTTAGAAACCTTAGGTCTGTGCTTTTAAACTGCTGTTCGGCAGGGAACGGTGTGCGGTGTCGGGTACCAGGCCCGGCTATAAAGTAACTGAGACGGATCCCACAACCGACACATGACAATCAGTCTCATTGCTTTATAATCGCACCAGGCACAAAGGGTTTTAGAAACCAGTTCTGAGGCTTCCTCTTGAAGACTCAAGCTGGGAGAGGAGCAGGGAAAGCTGCACAGGTAGCCGGGGAAACCGATCCACACAATTTCTCTTGTTCAAAGAACACTAAGTGAACACCACCTAATTTCAATGGGAAAGCTGTTTGGAAAAAGAAGCCGTTAATTATTTCAACCATCCACTCAATGATATTTATTGAGCACATACTATGATCAAGGTTCCCTAATGTTTACTTTTTTTTTTTTAAGATTTTATTTATTTGAGAGAGAGAGAGAAGGTCAGAGGGAGAAGCAGACTCCCTGCAGAGCTGGGACTTAATCCTGGGACTCTGGGATCATGACCTGAGCCAAAGGCAGTTGCTTAACCAACTGAGTCACCCAGGCGCCCTACCTTTTTCTGTTTTTAAAGATTTTATTTTGAAGTGATCTCTACACCCAATGTGGGGCTCAAACTTACAACACCAAGATCAAGAGTCGCATGCTCTACCAACTGAGTCAGCCAGGTGCTCCCCATCCTAACGTCTGCTTTTTAAAGACAGAAAATTTACGGGCCGTGAAGTAAGAGAAAACAGATATATTGGTCTCCCCAGGTTCCTGGCACAGAGCTACTAAAACCCTTGGCAATTTCCTAAGTGATAAGAGCATGAGGACCATCTTTTGTTCTGATATCTGGTCTTGGATCCTGACATGGTGATCTTAAGTCCCTTGAAACTTCCTGGGTGACAGGAGTCTTTTGTTCTAAAGAGATGACTCTTAGTGGGCCATGAAGAGAAGCTTGGAACTTTCAGTCCATCCCCTCCATCCTCTGGGGAGGGGAGAGGAGAAAGAGACTGAGTTAATGACCGATCATGCTGATGTGATGAATTCTCCATAAAAACTCCCACACTGTGCTGTCTGGAGAACTTCTGGGTTGGTGAGCATGTGCGGGTGCTGGGAGGGCAGCAAACCAGAGGGCCCCTTCCCACAAAACTTGCCCTGAACATCTTCAGCTGGCCATTCATCTGTATCTTTTCCTATACCCTTCATAATCAACCAGTAAATGTGTTTCCTTGAGTTCTGTGAGCCATTCTAACAAAGTTTTGGACACTATGAGGGGGTTGTGGGAAAATGATTTATAGGTAGCTGGTGAAGTACAGGCGACAGCCTAGGACTTTTGGTTGGGGCAGGAAGGGGGCAGCCTTGTGGGTCTGAGCTCTTAACCCGTGGAATATGACCCGAACTCCAGGCAGACAGTGTCAGAATCCAACTGAATTCTTAGACACCCAGTTGGTATGGCTGAGAATTGCTTCATATAGGCGAAAGCCCCACACAATAGGTGACTGGAAGTGTCACAGAAGCATATGTGTGACTAGCACAGGAGACACACACACAAGAGGATTTTTTCCTTTATACCTGTTCTTGATTATGTGAAAACTGTACTTACTCTCAAAGAGCAAAGGAGAATCCAATTGCAATTTAATTAAAAAAAAAAAAAGGTTAAACAAAGTAGTGGATAAATAAAAGGTACACCTATTTTTTAAAAAAAAAGAGCAAAGGAGAATCTTTTTTTTTTTTTTTTTAAAGTAGGCTCCATACTGGGCCTGTGGGGCTTGAACTGACAACCTCCCAAGATCATGACCTGAGCTGAGACCAAGAGTTGAACGCTTAACGGACTGAGCCAGCCAGGCGCCCGGAGCAAAGAAAAATCTTAAAGGGGTTGGAGAGAGAAGCCCAAGCAGGCAGTCTTATAGGCTAGCAGAGAGGGGGAGATTGCTAGCAGGATAGGCAAGGGGGCTAAGCCACTGCTCCTCAAGCAAAATGAAGAAAAATGACAGCAGGTTGTGAGAATACTAGTCAAGCCACTCGGTTCTTAACCCTTTCTGCCTGTAACTCACTTAAAGTATCTGATGACAGGAGACCCTCCTAATGAGAAAAGCCCCGTTCTGCTGATTTCATTCATCTCCTCACTTCCCACCCCTAAACCTGATCTGGGCTCAAACACCCTGAATGAAGGATGCCTTGGACACCTGACTTTTAAAGATCTGAGAAGCCTTGGCCCAGCTTCCAGTGGGGATAGTAAGGCCAGAGAGGGTATAAGCTTCAGGATAAAGGTCACATTAGGTCAAGTGGTGACTGTTAAGAGTTAAAGACTTATCAGACTAAAATGATGTAAACACTCAAGGAGAGATGACAAACATTTGGAACATCTACCACCACTAACCCTAATTCTAACCTTTAGCCAACACTGCTAATAAATCACGGATATGGCCTCAGAATCCTAAGCATTTCAACTCACCCAGCACCCAGAATTAATTTACCAGAGATGACAAATCAGTAAAAATCTAAGTGCAATCCCTGCTTTTACCTATTTTCTTGAAACTTTCTCCACATCTGTTCTTTAATGTGAATCTGTGTTTCCACTGCTTGAATTTGGCTACTTTATGAAAACAATTCTATTCTTTCTCTCCCACCCTTGCCTTAAAAAAAAAATTCCTTCTCCTTTGGAGAATTTGCAAACCCCAGAACAGTTTCAAATCATGACACTTCCTCCCTGAATACTTCGTCTCCTTAATTCATTTATCACCTCCTTAATTCATTTATCACCTTCAAGAAACTGAGCTCTGATACAGAACTGTTCCAACCGAATTCTGGAACTCTCTCTCATTCATTCCTCCCGACCACCCCGGGAAGCACGAACCTGCTAGCCAACACTATCCCCAAGGCTTTCACAGGGATCTGAGCTTCAGCTCCGGGAGTCCTTCCAGATGGGAAGTACCAGAAGCCCAGCCCTGACCCACACATAGCCGTTCTTCCCTCTCCTGGAACGGAATCTCAGGGCAAGCCCAGTCCAGCAGGGTGGCTGATCGTTTCACCTTAGAAAGGCAGATCCAGGAAGGAAACAAATGAGCTGTCTGAGGCATCAGGCCACAAGTGGAGAGAGGTACTTTTACTGTAAGCTGCTTTACTTTTTTTACTATAAGCTTACCCAATTTATTTTAAAAAAGAAAACAACCTCCCTGTACAAAACCCCACTTAGTAGACGTTTTATCTCTTAACGGATGAAGAGGTTTGTTAAGTTCAAATCACCTGCTGAAGTTTTAGGGAATTTTCAAGCTCTTAGGTGATTTTGGTAAATTTCCCATAAAAAGGTTCACGGAGGTGCAGTATTCCCTAAGCATCTGCAGTGAAACCAGTATAACTTCTGGTAGGCTACGGTCAGTGGCATCAGACTTCTTCCTACAG